AATATTTGTCCCAGTAAAGCAGACTCCAGTCCTGCGTCCCCTGTGGACAGAAGTGCCACTGTCCACACATGACTCATGAACCACTTGTAGTCTTCCCTCAGTTGACTGGAGGATCCGTAGTGTTTTTCCTGAACCAGATTTATGGGATTGGTGTCTGTCCCTCCTGACAAACTCGGGGAGGTCTGGTGTGGAGTTAGTGTCCATCCTTTCCGACACACTAAAGGAGATTTGGTGTAGAGTTGGTGTCTGTTTGCTCAAGGAAAGAACTCAGCACAGTCAGCCAGAGAGGAGGATCACAGTACAAGATCACATGCCCAGAGCAGGCTTTATTAAAACCCCAGCATAGGGTGTAGGATAGGTAGGAGGGTGTCCATCCACAAGGCCCAAGGTTGGCACTGGTAGCTGGCTCCATAGACTCTGCTGTCTGTACTGAATGCCAGACCCTAGCAGCTTCCAACTTCAGCATACATTGCAAGGCATGTTGTCACAGGTGTCTGGGCATGGAGATGGGGTTCTGGTACCACACAGTGTTCTTCAGAGAAAGGGCCAATCTGTGTAGTGAACTTCTGCTGGCCAGGGCTGGAGACAACCTCCCAAGGACAGCCCCTCCCTCAGGACTGTCCCGGCTGCGGTCCTTGGGTGGGATGCTGAAACATGCCTACAGATGCCCAGTGGGAGCTGTGCTGGCTGGCCTGAGTGGGCTGGATCCCCTGGGAAGTGGCCAGGTCCGTGTGACTCCTGAGTGGGGCTGGATCTCCTGGGAAGTGGCCAGGTGGAAAGACTGATGGGGCATGGGTGTTGCCATTCTGTCTCCTGGCACTGTATCTGAGCATACATGGCAGCCGGCACCCAGGCCTGCTCCTCACCAGCACTCGGCAGCTGGGCCTTCATCTTGCTGGCTTGTAACTTTGTCTCATGAGATCTTCAACTTGCACTTCTCATCTTACTAATGAGGTTGAATAGTTTATACTTGTTTGGAGTTTCTGGTTTGTGAAATTCTTTTTATCACCAGAGTAGGGATTAGTAAACTGACTCAGAAGACAGTGAAATCCCATAGCATCAAAATGACTCAACTCTAGCCAGGAGCCAGTGGCTCAGGTCTATAATTCAAACTGCTCCGGAGGCTGAGATCTGAGGATTACTGTCTGAAGCCCAGGCAGGAAAATCTGTAAGACTCTATCTCCAATAATCTACTCAGAAAAACCTGGAAATGGAGCTATGGCTCAAGTGATAGAGCATTACCCTTGAGCACAGAGAGGCTCGGGGCAGAGCCCAGGCCATGAGTTCAAGCCCCAGGACTGGCCAAAAAAAAAAAAACTACTCTATGCAAGTGTGCATGAGTGTGGATGGCTTGGGAGGCTAGGGCAGTAGTACCAGACTGGCCTGAAGACCAGAGTTTGCTAAGCTCCAGTCCCTGTACACCACCCGGGAGCTTCACTTCCCCAAGGGAGGGGGGGGCTGCTCCCGAGCTGCACTTCACTGCAGCCCAAGGTGAGAGGGCATGGTGAATTACACTGCTAGCCTAGGGAGATCTGACCGGCAAGTGTGGCTTTTGCTGTGTGCGTGTCTTTCACACAAGGTAGAGTTGATTAACTGTGAGCCTAGAACTGTCGGCACTCGTGCCTGTTTGTGTGTACACACACACACACACACACACACTCGTGTGCAAATGCACAAACATACCGGTCCTGGGGCTTGAACTCAGGCCTTGGGTTCTGTCCCTGAGTTTCTTTTGCTGAAGGCTAGTACTCTACCACTTGAGCCACAGCTCCACTTGCTTCTTTTGGTAGTTTAGTGGAGATAAGAGTCTTGCAGACTTAACTGCGCAGATTGGCTTAAGCCAAGATCCTCAGATCTCAGCCTCCAGAGTAGCTAGGATGACAGGTGTGAGCCTCGGGCTCTAGCCACTTCCCAGTTTTTGAGGGGTTAAATGGAGATAAGAGTCTGACTGAGACTTTTCTGCTTGGGGGGATGGGGGGGGGAGGAGAAGAGGGGTGAGGAGGGGGCTGGCTTTGAACCTTAATCCTCAACTCTCAGCCTCCTGAGTAGCTTGGATTATAGGCATAAGGCCACAGGCTCCCAGCTCCCGGCTTTACTGATTATTTTTGAGGTGGAGACTCATGAATTTTTCCCCTTCAGTACAGGAGTTTGAACTGAGGACCTTGCACTTGCTTGGCTTTCTTGCTTAGCTGGTGCTCTACTACTTGAGCTACACCACCAGCCATGATTTTGCTGGTTAATTTGAAGATGGAATCTTCTTGACTTGGGTTTGAATCACCACCCACTGGATCTCAGTCACCTGAGTAGCTAGGGTTATAGGGATGAGCCACTGGTGCCTGGCAAGTTAACTTTTTTTTTCTCCTTTTTTTGGTGCCAGTCCTGGGGCTGGAACTGAGGGCCTGGGTGCTGTCCCTGTGCTTTTGTGCTCATGGCTAGCCACAACTACCACTTGTGCCACAGCTCCGCTTCCTGCTTTTTCGTGGTTATTTGGAGATAGAGTCTCACAGACTTTCCTGCCCAGGCTGGGTTTGAACCCTAGTCCTCAAGTCTCAGCTTCCTCAGTAGCCAGGATTACGGACATGAGCCACCAGTACCTGCCTCTTTTAACAATTTTTACAAATTGGAGCTGGGCACTTGTGGCTCACGCCTGTAATCCTAGCCACTCTGGAGGCTGAGATCTGAGGATCGCAATTCAAAGCTACCCCAGGCAGTAAAGTCCTTGAGACTCTTATCTCCAGTTAACCACCAGAAAACTGGAAGTGGAGCTGTGGCTCAAAGTGGTAGAGTGTTAGCTGTGAGTGAAAAGAGTTTAGAGATAGTGCCCAGGCTGAGTTCAAGCCCCAGGACCAACAACAGCAAAGCTTAGACAGGGTAATGGATTTTATCCAATGATTTTTATGTATCTGTTGGGAAGATCCTATCATGGTTTTTCTCTTTTTACTCTTAATCCTAAATAGCATGTTTATACAGAGCCCACCCTGTTCTAGGGATAACCCTAACCTAATGAAGATGATTGTCCCTTCTGGGTATTGCTGCCTGTGGGCTGACACATAAGGTTAGAAGTGGCTCACGGTTTCCTTCCAGCTCGCACCTTGCCAGAGTTTGGTGTGTGTTGCTGGGGATTAGACCCAAGTCCTCGTGGGTGGGAGGTGAGTGAACATTTCCATGCTGAAAATACTGTCTTTTTACTCATGGAGAACATTGTTTGCTCTAAGACATCCTAGAAGCTCCTGAAAACTACCGTGTCTGTAGTGTTCTTTGAGGGGATTTGACCGCCTGCTCTGTGTCTGTAACAGGTATAGAATGTTGGGGGTTTGGGCACTTGCCTCAATTCTGGTATGCTATTTTTCTAGGAATTTGTTAGTTTCACATAAATACTAGTTTCGTTGCCAGGAGTTGTTCAGTGTTCTTTTATTCCTCAGTGTCTTCTTTCCCTCAGGACGCCCACTGGCTGTGTATTGCCTGCCTGCTCCCCTTGGTTCTCAGTAGTGTTTGTCACCTCGTACTAGATAAGTGACCTGCTCACTGTGTTGATTGTTTATTGTCTCCCATGACATGTATGTGCAGAAAGTTGCACTGTGCATCACGGGAGCTACTGGCCACACTTGCCTAAAATGAAGTACAATTAAAACTTTGGTTTTCTAAGAGCCACCCTTTTGTTTTGAGACAAGTCATCTTTTCAGTGTCAGCAGTCTCAAGGGGTCAGTGGCCTGCAGGCTGAGCAGGAGACAGTTCATGGAGACAGGTCTGGTCATGAGTCAATTCTGTCTCCTCATCTGAACACCTCAGGGTTAGTTAATAAGGACTGGAGCTGTGGCTCCGTGGTGGAGCACCTACCTAGCAGCAGGAGGCCCAGTATGGAGGGAAACAGTGAATAAACATGTTGTCATGGAAAAGCCTCAAGAGCAATAATGGTATGAGTTTGATAAGAAAAGGAGCATCACTTCATTACATCTTAGCACCTGTTGTTTCAGGTTCGGTCTAACTGCGGTCCTTAAACCACATGCAGCATGTCTTCCTGAAGCCCTTCTCTAGTCGTGCCTGTTCTTAGGTGGACAGAGCCCTGGACAGGTGCTCAGAGCAGCGGGGTGGAGTCGGGGTAGTCAGCCCAGGCAGGTCAGGGTGCCGGACCGCACGTGGCTTCCTTACCACCCTTCGCTTGAGCAGGGGCTCCAGGTCCCTGGGGCTGCTCTCGTCCACCCTCCCCTGCTGCCAGTGTCACGCTTGCCGTTGCTTTCTGCCAGACTCCAGCATGGGCACGGGAGCCACACGCTTGGTCCTCAGTGCATATTCACTGGGTGTGTGGCGGATCTGTGCCCAGAAGGGAGGGCTCCGTCCCGTGTGAGGACACAGGAGTTGCAGACATGTGAAGTGATAAGACAGTTGGTTGCTCCTAGGCCCTCCAGGTGGTCCCTGAGATCCCTCCCTCCCTCCCTCCCTCCCTCCCTCCCTCACATCTCTTCTCTGAGCTGGGCGTAGGGCCTCTGGCTTCATCTCCTTGTTTTAGAGCTTTCTTCACCATCATTATTAATCTTCTCTTTGAATAAGCAAGTAAACAAGCAGATACACTTAACCCAGCAAGGCTGGGGGATGGCGTCGATGAGTGCCTGGCCTGTGCCCTGTACCCCTATGATGACGACACCATTTCTGCTTCTCCACAGGCTTCACGATGTAGCCGGGACTCTAGGCTGTCATCCGCAGGTAAGTTGAGGCTGATCTTCCTCTTCGCTGCCTGTGAATTGGTGAGCTTTACCTAGAACCCCTTGGCAAGTGCAGTGTGACCATGAAGAAGTCAGGTCCTTCGGTGTCCTTGGTGCTGTCATCGGCAGTTGGCTTCGGCTTGCCTTCACTGGCTGGCGTTTGTTTCTCTTGAGCCGTGGTCCCGCCACCAGCTGTGCAGACGCGGCTGAGATTCAGAGGGCTCGTGGTGGGTTGTGTGCAGGGTTGTCAGTGATATGCCTGAGTAACAGTACCATTTCTGACCTAGAAAATGGAAAAAGAGCCAGGGCCAGAAGGAAGGTGCAGAAGTGAGCCTGAGTGCAGAGTGAGGAGGGATCGCCGCGTCCTTGTGGGGGCCTGAGCCCTCCATGCCACGGCCTGAGGGACACGCAGACGGCCGGCGTTGGTGAGGCCCAGTGCTCCGTCAGTAAGGTCTGGCTATCCACGGAGGGAGGCCTGGGGTTCCATCTGTGGGGCCAGCCCTCCAGAGAGCGGGGAACTGGGGTCCGTTCAAAGTGCTGGGGCGCTGGTGGCTCACGCCTGTAATCCTAGCTACTTGGGAGGCTCAGATCTGGGATCGTGATTTGAAACCCAGTCTGAGCAGACCAGACAAATCCAAGATTCTTTATCTCCAGTTAACCAGAAAAACTTGGACGTAGTGGTGTAGCTCAAGGGGTAGAGCATCAGCTTTGAGCAAAAGAAGCCAAGCAAGAGCATAAGGCCCTGACCAGTGCCAGCACAAAATAATAATAATAGCAATAATAATAATGATGATGATGACGATGATGGTCTTTAAAGTGGGAACAGAGGAGGAGGTAGGTACGACAGTGGTGGCTGGCCGTCAGATGACCTGGGGAAGGTATGTGGTCTGGAGGTGGTAAGGCACGGGTTCCATGGCCGTGCCCTGCCCCGGGCATCATGTCTGAAGGGTAGACGGTCATGCTGCCTGAGGGCAGTCAGGGTCTGGAGCTCAGCAGGTTCTGAGCGGTGATGACTTACTGTGGAAGTACAACCAGTAAGTCTCCTGTGCTGCTGAGTGGACAGTCTAGTCTAACCATGCCTACACAGAGAGCATGAGGGGTGAGCATGCACAGCCATTTAAACTGTGAGCTGGGTTTGGGGCCTGGACCTCAACGTCCATGCTCAGAGGCCTCATGGCAGATCTAGATGACCCTGGCTAAGGAGGGGCCTGAGCCCTGTAGAAACGCAGTAGTCAGACTCCTGTAGAGGCCAGGGAGTTCTGTCTTCCTGGTGGACTGGAACGAGGCCGATGGGCCTCTCCTCAGGGCTTACCTTCTACCTGCTGCTGTGGCCTGGGACAGCCTCCTATCTGGTGAGCTGGGTTGGGCAGCAGAGGAGGACACAGGCAGTTGGAAAGGGAGGCTCTGAAGGGAATGGTGACGTATCATGTTGGGCTTAGGAGAAGGGTCCAGTGGGTCTGGAGGCCCTGAGATCCTGTGCGTCAAGCAGCCAGAGAGCACCAGCAGCTGACCCTGCTGTGTGGACTCGGCAGGGATCTTGGGGTCTCTATGCATGTGCCGTGCAGCTGCCCCAGCATGTCTGGCTGTGCTCTACCTCTACCTGCCCTTTCCCCCTCTGCTATCCCAGAGCAGAATCCCTGGGGATTCCATTGCAAACCAAGGGCCCCGGTCCTGGATTCAGACCTTCCCGGCCAACTCTCCTCTGCTCTCACTACTTGCTGTGCCCCCCCCCCCCAGCCTCCAGTAGGAGGGGAAGAGGCCAGGGCCACGCTCCCACACTGTCTGCAGCTTCCTGTCCCAGCCCTCCCTGAGACCATTCACTGTTCAACATACCCTCCAAACGAGGAAATGAGCTACGTACGCAGATGAGCTATCTGCGGCCATGAGATGTCCCTGGAGGAAGTTCAGAGCCATGGGTGAAACACAGAGCAGTCGAGATGTTGACTAGTTTATCTGTGTGTTTCTCTTGTAGAAGCCAAAGATGTTGACCAGGAAGATTAAGCTCTGGGATATAAATGCCCACATCACCTGCCGCCTGTGCAGCGGCTACCTCATCGATGCAACCACGGTGACTGAGTGTCTGCACACATGTGAGTACAGCCCCGACCCCTACTACTGTGGGTCACCCTGGACGGGCGTGGAGGGAAGCTGCTGCCGTGTGCTCGGCAGGACTCTGGCTGCGTTTTGTCAAAAGCTTTGGGCTCCGGTGTGAACCACAGATCAGAAACATTAGCCTCCGAGTGAAGCTGTTGTGGGTGATCTCTCTGGAGTGAGAGTTCATTCTGGAAAGCTGCACTTATAGAAGCTGTGCTGTGAGTGTAAAGGGTTAAGTGTCGACTTCCAGCAGGGAGAGACACCAGTTTTAAACTCCCCGATGAGGTTCTGACATTTTTACATTCTGGGATCTGTTCCTGTTACTTGGCTTCCTATTCGGCTATCATGGGTGGTACACATTTGTAACCACCAAGGAGGAGTTAGTTAAGGTGAAGACTCATAACACAAATACTTTCCATCTTATACTTTTCTCTTAAAAAAAAAGATTTCCCAGGTTTTTTGTTGTTGTTGTTGTTGTTTTTGTTGGTTGTGGGGCTTGAACTCTAGGCCTGGGTGCCGTCCCTCAGTCTCCCTCAGCTCTTCAGCTCAAGGCCAGCGCTCTACCACTTGAGCCACAGCGCCACTTCCTGTTTTCTAGTGATTAATTGGAGATTAAAAGTTTCTTGGACTTTCCTGCCTGAACTGGCTTTGAACCACAATCCTCCTCAGCCTCCTGAGTAGCTAGGATTATAGGCATGAGCCACTGGTGCCTGGCATTCCCAGTTTTTGTTTTTTGGTTTTTGGTTTTTTTTAGTCTTGGAGTTAGAACTCTGGGCCTGGGTGCTGTCCTTTCGCTCAAGGCTAGTGCTCTACCACTTGAGCCACAACAGCACTTCCTATTTTCTGAGTGGTTTATTGGAGATTAAGAGTCTCAAGGACTTTCCTACCTGGGCTGGCTTTGAACCGCAATCCTCAGATCTCAGCCTCCTAATTACAGGTGTGAGCCACCGGTACCCGGCCCAGCTTTTTTTTTTTTAAATAGGGGGTTAATTCATGAGTACAGTAAATTTTGATCAGTGCCACCCCTCCCATGGTTCTCCCCCATTTCTCCTAAGACCACAGTCCTCTCAAATTACTTAGTTTTCATTTTCTCATGTGTACATTGAATATTATGACTATATTCACCCACCTTTTCTCTTTTACTAGGGTATAGGGTGTTTTTGGTTGTTGTTTTTTATTTGTTTTATTTTTAGTACCAGTATGGGACTTGAACTCAGGACACTCTACCATTTGAGCCATGCCTCTAGTTCCAGCTTTTTGCTAGAAGTTGAATCTCTTGGGTTTATTACCCAGGCTGGCTCTGAAATAGGATCCTCAGATCTCAACCTCCTGGGTAGCTAAGATTGCAGGTGTGAGCTACTGACACTTGGCACGATTTGCCAGATTTAATAAAATTTTTGTTGTTGATGGTGGTGGTCCTGGTGCTTGAACTCTGGGCCTGGGCGCTGTCCCTCAGCTCTTCAGCTCAAGGCAAGTGCTCTACCACTTGAGCCACAGCGCCACTTCTGGTTTTCTAGTGGTTGGAGATAAGAGTCTCACAGACTTTCTTTCCTGCCCGGGCTATCTTTGAATTGCAGTCCTCAGATCTCTGCCTCCTGAGTAGCTAGGATGACAGGTGTGAGCCACCAGTCTCTGGCTTTAATAGAATTTTTATGTTGAAGTTACTATATTGTTAGAAACTGGCAGCCAGATTTTGTCAGGCAGTTTTTACTGACTTGTATCTAGTTTTGTTATACAAGAGAATGCTATGATGTTTTAGGCCAACTGAACAGAAATTCTCAATGTTAGCTGTGTCGATGGCCTTTGGTGGCCGCACGCTGCTGTTTGCTCTCTGCTCAGCCTGCGCGTGGGGGGTGGGCTGGCCGCCGCACAGTCGACATTCCTTTCTACGGTGCTTCCCAAGGCAGGCGCTTTCTTTCAGGAGCCAGACACTGTGTGGAGGAGGCTGCTGGTGAGTGTCCCTCCGGCTAGGCGTGGGTGTTGGGACCGCTCAGTGCCGGGTCCGCGTTCACCTGCTGCCCTTTGCAGTCTGCAGGAGCTGCCTGGTGAAGTACCTCGAGGAGAACAATACGTGTCCCACGTGCAGGATTGTGATCCACCAGAGCCACCCGCTGCAGTACATCGGGTGAGTGCCGTGCGCCCCAGCGCTCACCCACCTTGGTGCCCGGGCGGCTGCTCTGCTCCAGGCTGCCTGGGCGCCAGGCAAGGTGGCCAGGGCCAGGACAGTAGGCATTGCTTGGTCAGCAACTGTGCGGCAGCACCACACAAGTGGAACTTTGCAAGTTTCCTAAGCGGGAAATGGAAGGTGTCCCAGATGTGCCTTTCTGCAGAAATAACCCGCCCTGTACCGGCGTTCGGGCAGAAGAGGTGCTCAGACCAAAGAGCAGAATTTAGATCTGTGGGATCTCTCTGAAAGAAAATCCCCCCCACACACACACACACCCGCCTACAAGAGGAAAGTAGAAATAATCTGAAACCAGGTTAAAGGAAGAGGCATTCACTTGTTTTCTGTGTAAGCATTGAACAGCATAGCATGTTACATACAGAGCTTGGAGGCATACAGCAGCTTAGCTTTCCTAGGAGCAGCAGCCCAGATTCACAGGTTCAGGCCACAGAGGGCCATCCGTCCCACCAGCTTTTCACTGTGGAACCAGTGTGAGTTTTCTGTGACGGTAGGCCCTTCAATGGATTGCCCATGCATGGCATCCCTGAGAAACTCCCATGGTCCATGTACCCAATAGGACATCTGGAGACATCCATTGGTTCTCTACCCTGAGCTCTTTTCTGTGTACCAGGTGCAGGGTAGATGGGAGGCATTTGGATTAAGGATTCTGCCCATTTTCCTGTGGCTCCTCTCTTTGTGGTTCCAATTCCTGCTCTCTGCATTCTGACCAGCAGTGCCAGGCATTTAATTTTTCCAGTACGGTGGCTCTGGGTAAGCTTTACTCTGTGCCTCTGGTTTTCCCGGAGCTCCCAGGTCTACATGTTGACTGGCCATTGGCACTACTCTGTGGGTACCACCTGTCCTGGATGCTTTGAAAGTCTTGTCCCATCGCTGACTGTGGGCAAACCACACAGTCAGCTTTCCATCTGTGGTGGTGTTTTGCAGAGCTGGAATGAACTCTTGACAGAGGGATGGCAGAGGCTATGTGTGAGCCAGGGACAGGAGCCTGGAGAAGCTGCCACCCTCTCCAGGGTCCTGAGCTTCAGGGCCTCATGCGGGAGGCACACCTTTTATCACAGGCTTGGCATCCTAGAGAGAATGAAGAATAGGTGCGGGCCAGGCAGAAGTAAGGGCTAGAAAGTGAGTATATGTGTGGGTGCACTTATTGGGTTAGCAGGGGCTGGTTTGCCTCTGGCTCTGGACGCTTTGCTACATAAAGATGCAGAGGCTGCGAGTTGAGTAGAGGCATGTGCCTTCTGTGGGCCCTGGACCTCTGGGACTCTTGGTCATGTCCAGGCTTTGCCTAGAATCACCTAGCTAGCAGCTTCACTCCTGCTCTCCTTCTACTGGATGCCGCACTCCCAGGGGGAGAAGGACAGCTGTGGTCCTGGGACACTTGGCTTTGGCTTACTTTTGGGACTTAAGATGGATGATGATATGGGTGACGGTGTGAAACGTGTCCTGGTCAGGGGCTGGTGTGGGACCATCGGGTCGGGTGGACAGCATGTAGGAGACAGCATAGAGAGTGCAGCTACCATCCTGGACTGTGAGTGCATTCAAAGGACTGCCCTGCACTGGGCTGTCGGACCTGCTTAGCACCTCTCCTGGGGAAGCCCCTCCAGCCCCACTTCCCAACCCCTGGCCCCGTCAAGTGGGCAAGGCCTACCTCATTGCTCAGAGCCCCAGTGTGGAGCTCTGGCTGCCAGTCTGTGAGTTCTAGTGGAAGCTAGGCAGGTACAGTAAGACCCATGAACTCCATTTGCATACTACTCTACTTGTGTGTCCTAGTCCAAGCGTGAAATATAATTCCTCATGTGGTGAGAAGAATTCGTGTGACCCTGTGTGGTTCCACACCATGGCTGAGCTCACAAATGAGAGTTTCCAAGCCATAAGGAGTTTGTAGATGCAGCAAGTAACAGGCTTGTAGCAACTGGGTTGCCAGGATTGTAGCAGACCCTGGCTGCTATGCTAGGCCCTGGAGGGCTAGATGTTTGTGACTTTGTGATGTGTAGTCATTCATCAATTTTTGGGCATATAAGGGCTTTCTTGTTACAGAATGACGCTTGAAAGCTAACATTGGTTTGAAAATTAAGACATTCTTTAATTTTACCCAAGAAAAGAAAATAGTTACTTTAATGTAATTGTAAAAGCTTATGTTTAAGAATAACAAACCTGCCAGGCCCTGGTGGCTCACACCTGTAATCCTCACTACTCAGGAGGCAGAATCCGAGGATTTCAGTTAAAAGCCAGCCCACGGGCTGGGAAGTTGGCTTGTTGGTAGAGCGCATGACTTGCATGCATGAGGCCCAGGATTCGATTCCTCAGCACCACACAAGCAGAAAAAGCTGGAAGTGGCGCTGTGGATCAAGTGGTAGAGTGCTAGCCTTGAGCTGAAGAGCTGAGGGACAGTGCCCAGGCCCAGAGTTCAGGCACCACAACCAACAACAAAAGCCAGCCCAGGTAGGAAAGTTCTCAAGACTCTTACCTCCAATTAACCACCAAAAAGCTAGAAATGGAGGTATGACTCAAGTGGTAGAGTGCTACCCTTGAGCAAAAAAGCTCGGGGACAGCACCCAGGCTCTGAGTTCAAGCCCCAGAACTGGCATACACACACAAAAAAATAGCAAACCAGAGTATTGGAGATGGTACCCCTATGCCTTCTCAGAAAGCCTGTGTAGGTATGACAGGAAGACCACAGAAAGAAAGCCTGAAGTCATGGAGCCCAGGGGCTGCAGGGTGGGAGGTCCCGGAGACACAGGGCTATGGTGGCCCACATTGGTGGGCCACAGTGTACACTAACCTGTGTCCAGCAGACAGGGTATTGGATCCTAGAACGATTTCATCTGCTATCATCATCTGAGGCATTCATAAATACCTAGGACCCAAATTAAATGGAATACTAATTCAAGTTAAAGATAACTTTTTTGATAGCACATACTTCTGTTTTGCAAGTAGAAAATGTGGAGAGTTGCAGGACCCAGGCCCTGTGACTCACTGACCCTGTTCTGTCTCTCTGCAGGCATGACAGGACCATGCAAGACATTGTTTACAAGCTGGTTCCAGGCCTCCAGGAAGGTGAGTTCAGGGGCCCTCTGCCCACCCGCACCAGGCCGGGGCTGTGGCCAAGGCCTCTCCCCTGCAGACTCTGCTCTTAACACTGGGTTCTCCATTGATTTTTCCACCATGTGCAAACTGTTTTGGTTCTGGAAAAAGGCAAAGTATACCTCCAAGTAAAGTGTCAAGATGTTAAATATGTGCAGTGGTTTCCTTCATGGTAGCACAGATGTGGAGAGGCCCTGTCCACTGTCCAGTGGCTCGGCCTGCTGTCTGCCCTCCCCCCCCCTTCCTGGTGCTTCATCTTGAGGCTGTTTGTGAGGGCCAAAGATAGGATTTTTTTTTTAACACTTGACCATAATGCCCTTAGGACATGTGGGAAAGTGGTACTGACTCCCTCATGTCGCTTGTCCACTCACGGTGATGTCTCTAGTTGGCTCATGTCAGCTTTCCAGTTGTTTTGGTCAGGACCCGCATAGGGTCTGTGCCTGGAGCTGAGTTGCAGGCCTCCTCTGGGCCTCTGCCCTCGTCTTTGCCTTGACCTAAGGTTCTGGACTTCACAGGGGACTTGCCGTGGCATCTTCACATGTCCTGTGTGTTGGAATTTTTGGTGAATATATCCGGTGGGCCTGTCCAACCCGGGTCCATGTTTTTGGCAAGCCCACTACTGGGAGTCTCTTTTCCTGAGTAGGTGGAGTCAGCTTCTGAGGAGATGGTGCCTCATTGGTAATTCCTGCCAGTGCGTTCATGAGTTTCTGAATCGTAATGTGTTTGTAACGACGATTGCTGCTTGGTCTCCTGGTGATCCTGTTTTGGAAGAGAGGCAGAATAGATGTCAAGTCTCTACATTTGCATGATAGCAGGTGGCTCATTTCCCTGGCCAGCCGCACGGCCTGTGTTCTCAGTTCATTGCATTATCTGAAGCTTGAATCGTCACTGCTTTGTGGCCAGCTGGCATCTCACATTTGGCTGGAACCCTGTTACAGCCCTGGTGGCCTTAGATGTTCTGGGCTCCTTAGGGGCCAGGTTTCTCAGTCCCTGCCATGCAGTGCTGTCCTGAGGGCCTGGCCTGGGTGTTGGGGACTCTGTTGCTGTGTCTTTTGGCAGTGAGGAAAGTGGTATGGGAGGGCGGTCTGGCTGGCTCCCGTTGTTATCCTTGCCACATCCGAGCACCTGCCCTGCATGGCCACTGTTCCCTCTGGAGGTTTCCAGGAGTCTGGAAAGTCAGAGTTCTGCATTCACACCTCGGGCATGCAGAGGCACGGGCTGCCTTGTGACTCGGCTTCTCACTGACCCTCACAGAGTTCACAGGCCGGCGTGTTCCTGATGCAGTGCTCTCAAACTCTTAAGTTACAGCCGCTTGTTACTCTTCAGGATTACTCTGGCTTTGAAACCATCAACAAGCGGTAAAGGCCGCCTGCCACTTCTTTGGCTTTCTTTTTTGTACAAGCAGTTGTAAACCTCATTTCTCAGGCCAGAGGTCTTTGGCTGGACACTCAGGTAAACTGGGTTGTGCTTTAACCATGGTGATGCTGCTGTGAGGCGCAGCATCGGCTCTGGGGGTCCCTGGTTAATTTTCGCAGGACAGCTGCAGGGCTCCAGCCCCTTTCTGGTGCTCTGCCCCGGGCCCTGCCGGCCTTGGCTCTCACGTGGACCCCTTGGTAACAGGCTTCCTCCACAGCTCCACTGTGGCTCTGGAGCCCGTGCCAGCTGATGACTTTTTCTGTTCGCTTGCAGGCAATTTGGTAGAAGTTCATTTTCAGTTATTCTTTGGTATTAACTTCTTTCCCTGAGGCAATATCTTTATCTAAACTTTATCAAGATGCCTACCACCCCCCTGCTTTTCCTTCACATTGCTGTGGCTTCTGTATCCACAAACACGATGTGTATTCCTCGAGAATGCATGCCATATCTTTTTTTTGGGGGGTCCGGTCGTGGGCCTGAACTCTGGGCCTGGGCGCTGTCCCTCAGCTCTTCAGCTCAAGGCTAGTGCTCTACCACATGAGCCACAGTGCCACTTCTGGCTTTTTTTTCTTTTTGCTTATGTGGTGCTGAGGAATCGAACCCAGGACCTCAGGCATGCAAGGCAAGCGCTCTACCACTGAGCCACCTTCCCAGCCTGCAAGCCATGTCTTTACCAGTCTTCTACCAAGGGATATTGAATTTGTGTCTCATCTTTGCATATGGGTGAAAATATCTGTTGGTTTCATTGTGGAAGCAGACCAAAGTATCTACCTTTTTATTTCTTTCTTGTGGCTGATTGCACTATCTGGAACCGGAGTTGGCCTGCTAACCGCACAGGCCGCACCTGACTCACTGCCTGCCTCCGTGGGGCAGGTGAGCTCAGAACATGTGCTTCAGGTTACACAGTTGGAAAAAAACAAAATAATCTTACTTTGTAACATGAAAAGTACATAAATTGAATTTCACAGTACGCTTGTCTCATTAGAAGCCAAGTATGGCTGTGCACACTTATAATTCCAGCCCTCAGGCAGCTGAGGCAAGGCCCTCCTGGGCCACATGGTAAGACCCTCTCTCACATCCCTCCTCCTCCTGGGGGCTGGGGACTGAGGGCTTCATGCCTTAATTCTAGCTACCCAGGAGGCTGAGATCTGACAAAGTCAGCCCAGGCAGGAAAGTCTGTGAGAGCCTTATCTGCAGCTAGCCACCTGAAAACCAGAAGTGGCTCTGTGGCTGACAGTGGTAGAGCACTAACCTTGTGCAAAACAGCTCAAGGACAGAACTGAGGCACAGAGTTCAAGTTCCACAACAGACAGGCAAAACAACAACAAACCCTCACCCCCCCCCCAAGAAAATAAAGTTTTATTGAGACACAGCCGTGCTTATTTGTGAATGTATTGTATGTTATCCTCCCGAGGCAGTTACGTATTTGCTACATATTATGTGTCATGTGGTCATTGCTCTGATACACTGCTCAGCACAACAGATTCTTTTTTTTTCCCCCCAGTCCTGGGGCTTGAACTCAGGCCCTGGGCACTGTCCCTGAGCTTCTTTTGCTCAGGCTATCACTCCACCACTTGAGCCACAGCCACTTCTGGCTCTGTGTATGTGGTAGTGAGGAACTGAACCCAGGGAGGCCTCATGCATGCGAGGCTAGCTATCTACCAGAAAGCCATGTTCTCAGCCCCAGGACAACACATTTCTCAACAGGAGACAGCCCTTTGCGTGCAGTGTTACACTGTGGTGAGACACCTTGGGCTGTCAGCACATGTCCAACATGCCAAAACAAGGAAAGAAGAGAAAAATAACCCTAAGTGTTAGCCTGCTGCTGCTGACCAGTTGCTACTAGTAGCCTAGCACTGTACTCACATGCAGTGATGTGTGGCTACTCACAGATAAGCCCAACACACAGAGACATGGTATCTAAGAAAAAACAGGGGGGCTGGGGGTTTAGCCCAGCGGAAGGGCGCCTGCCCGGCGCGCGCAAGGCCCTGGGCTCGGTCCTCAGCCCTGGAAAAGAAAAAAGAAAAAACCGGAAATTTTACCATAGAACAGGTCATCAAAGAATCTTTTCGCAAAAGCAAAACACAAAGATGAGGCTATCAAGTAAGCTGCTCATTGGCTCACCTGTCAGCCAAACAGGCAAAGCACTTATTTACTGACATGAATCAATTAAGGCATGTGTGGCTGCAGCAACTGAGGAAACATGGCCAGAGGAGACACACCTACCCAAATGGTTGGCTTCTGGGTGGGAATGCTCTGGGGCCAGGGACATTGGGAGCAGAGTCAGCAGTTGAGTATGGAGTGATCTTTCTTGGCATCACTAATGCTGCTCAAGACCTTGTGTTCTGCCAGCGCTGAGCAGAAGAGGAGCCTCTTGGATAGTCTTCTTTCAACGCTTCACAGCAGGATAGCCAAAATGCCTAGCTGCATAAGTTAGCAAAACTAGCCAGAGTGTAGCTTTGAAGCTCATTGTTACTCACCATCAGGTGTTTACAAAGCTTGTGGCTCTTCCATGCTATACAGCCATACTGTCCATGGTACACCTCATCCACGCCCATGCCCATAGCCACCATTGACTCTAAAGGCCCAGCGAACATCCTGGCCTGTCCACCACGTTTCATTGATTTGGCAGTGATAAAATGAATGTGTGTTTTTTTTTCTTTATCTGTTTGAGCAGAGGGCAGAGATGGGAATTTTCTGAATGAGAAGAACTTGTCAAACATTGAGTGGTTTTGGAGGTTAGCTTTTGCTAAGGACCTAATAAAGCTGAATATTGAGTTCACCTTGATATTTTAAGACAAAACATTTACATGTAGAATGTATTGACAACATCAAGCTGTTGCTCACCTTTCCATCAGTGTAACAAAATCACCAGCTTACCAGGAGAAGAACTTTACTGGGGGGCTGGGAAGGTGGCTCAGTGGTAGAGCGCTTGCCTTGCATGCCTGAGGCCCTGGGTTCGATTCCTCAGCACCACATAAGCAAAAAGAAAAAAGCCGGAAGTGGCGCTGTGGCTCAAGTAGTAGAGTGCTAGTCTTGAGCGGAAGAGCCGAGGGACAGTGCCCAGGCCCAGAGTTCAGGCCCCATGACCGGACCCAAAAAAAAAGAACTTTATTGGTTCATTTTTGAGGTTTCAGTCCAGAATCAGTTGATCGTATGGCTTTGGGCCATGCACTAGGAGGAACGTGTGGCTGATCCGACAGTACTTTTTGAACAGTAATACAAATGCAAATTAAGTTTCCATATTTCAGAATCTATTGAACTGTGTGCACATAAGGAGCTTTTACACCTATTCTTCAGTTAGAAGTGATGAATATGCAGCTGAGTAGCATGATAACAAGCAAATAAGCTGGAAGAACTTCACAGAGCTCCATGACTGCATGCTAAACAGCAGCGCCCAGGATCCTAGTCCTACACGCTCTCCACACGGGGTTCTCTCCACATCTTATTTTCTCACTAGCAACAGCATTTAAAGTTGATAACCCAAGTCTACAACTTCCTTCATGTGCTGTAGTGAAGCTTTTCTATAATTCTTTGCCTACTAAAGATGAAAGGTTATCTGTTAATTTTTAATAGCGGAAATGAGGAAACAGCGGGAATTCTACCACAAGCTGGGAATGGAGGTTCCAGGCGACATCAAGGGGGAGGCGTGCTCTGCAAAACAGCATCTAGACGCCCGGAATGGTGAGTAACCGCCGGCGGTTTGATGTCCAGGAGCTCTCCTCTTAGGCCTCCCCTCACAGACAGCAATGCGACCGGTGGACTGGATCATGGAGGGGTAGAGAGCAAGAGGTCCCTGAAACTTGGGTTGGGTGGAGGGTGTCGGGGAAAGAGGAGCTTTATGATAAAAGGGCAAAATGACAGTTTGATTTGGACATGAAGTTAGTGGCACATTAAAAGTCTTTATCATGAATTATTCAAATAACTGAGTGGACCACACATGGATCGGGGGGATCATACGTGTTCCTAAGGGTCCTCCAGAGGTGTCTGGGATCCAAGGTCCGGTCCTAGCCTGCATTCAAGCAGTTGGGTTCCAGGAGCCAGTGTTCTAGGAAGGCTTCTGGGTCACGGCCAGGGGCCCTGGGAGCTCATTCCATTCCCCAACCCCAGATATACAGCACCAAATCTGGCTTTCCACCTGCTGTGCAGGCTCACCCTGTGCTACAGAGGAGGGACCTTGGAATGGCTCAGACTCACTGGGTTCCTCTTCTCCAGCATCCTTCGTAGAATGAATGTCAACAGCATTTTGAGGGTTCTGTGGACTCTTAAAAATAGTGTAACATACTGCATTTCATGACTCAGGTTGGGTATCCTTCATCCAAACGGCTTTGAGTCTGGAAGCATTTCAGATTTGGTAGCACATTTGCATATAAGACAAGCTGCCTTATGGAATTTCAAGATACATTTCACATACCCCTGTGTATACTAGGCCCAAGGGTTTGTTCATACAGTATTTCCAGTGTTGTCTGTCTGGCTTTGACTGGCCTATCACAGGGGATTGGTCGTACAAGGTCCCACATACAGCCCAGGAAGTTTGGGGTTTTGAAACATTTTGGATTTTGGATTGGGAACACTCTGTCTGAATGGTTTTTCTGTTTGTGCTAAAAGGTGAAACCAAAGCAGATGACAGTTCAAACAAAGAAACAACAGAAGAGAAACAGGAAGAAGACAATGATTACCACCGGAGTGATGAGCAGGTGGGGCGCTTCTGGCGGGCTGGCGTTCCAAACCGGGGTGTCTTGCGAAGCCATATCCGAGTTAAATGCCTGGGGGTTTTCTTCCTCTGAGTTCCACACAATATCTGTCTACCTTTTCTTTCTTTGCCTTTTTTCAACCAAAGTAATGTGGAGTGACTATAAAGCATTTCAAACAAAAAATTACAGGCTGCCCCCTAGTGTTGATTGTTTAGCACCCCTGCAGGTTTGTGCCATTTGTAGTCCATTTGTAGTTCTCTCAGCCTGCAGGGTGGGGGCCGTCCAGGTCTCCTTCACTGTGCCATCAGATGAAGATGACCAACTAGCCAAGTGCTGTGGAAGGACTTGCTTATAGAACTTTTTTTTTTTTTTCCTGTTGGTCATGGGGTTTGAACTCAAGGCCTGGACGCTGTCCCTCAGCTCTTCAGCTCAAGGCTAGCGCTCTACCACTTGAGCCACAGCTCCATTTCCAGTTTTCTGGTGGTTTATTGGAGATAAGAGTCTCATGGGCTGGGCGCCGGTGGCTTAAGCCTGTAATCCTAGCTACTCAGGAGGCTGAGATCTGAGGATCGCAGCTCAAAGCCAACCTGGGCAGGCAAGTCTGTGAGACTCTTTATCTCCAATAAATCACTAGAAAACCAGAAGTGGCGCTGTGGCTCAAGTGGTAGAGCGCTCGCCTTGAGCTGAAGAACACAAGGACAGCGCCCAAGCAGAGTTCAAGCCCCACGACCGATCAAAAAAAAAAGGAGTCTCACAGACTTTCCTGCCCGGGCTGGCTTTGAACCATGATCCTCAGATCTCAGCCTCCTGAGTAGCTAGGATGACAGGTGTGAGCCACTGGTGCCCAGCAGAACAAGCAGTTTTTAAGAGCATGTGTATAAAGTGATTGATGTAAAATTCCTTGTACCTCAGTGAGGTAGAGCATACTTCTAATTTCAAAGAGGCCGCCACCCTCAGTGCAGGAACAGGCCCCTGAGAGTTGACAGAGAACCCCTCTCACTGCGCCACCTACACCTTCCAGGTGAGCATCTGTCTGGAGTGCAACAGCAGCAAGCTTAGGGGCCTGAAGCGGAAGTGGATTCGTTGCTCAGCCCAGGCAACGGTCCTGCACCTGAAGAAGTTCATTGCCAAGAAGCTCAACCTCTCCTCCTTCAATGAGGTAGGCAGCCATGCACTCAGGAGAGGGGACAAGGCATTTCTCCTCTGAGCAGTTTTGGAGATTGTGGGGGGAGAGCACAGTGTGGACAGTTTCAGCCACGGTACTGCCCGTGTCCCTCAGTCAGGACAGATCCCCAGGGATGGATCCGTCCCCCAGACTGTGGTGTGAACACAGCCTTGTGCCCTCTGAGGACGAAGGGCTGGCTTGGGCCCAGCGTCACTGTGTGGGCAGCGGGAGCGGCCAGCTCCCAGCTGCCTCTGGCCCTTGAGGAACATCAGTGCTTTTGTGAACGTTCCCGATCCTTCGTAGCCTGTGCAGCGCCGACTCCTGCTCCCAGGAGGAAGGAGCAGCTCCAGGCCCAGGCAGTGTCGCCCTCGGCGTCAGTCCCTAACCACAGCCCTTCTCCCACAGCTGGACATTTTATGCAATGAGGAGATCCTGGGCAAGGACCATACCCTCAAGTTCGTGGTTGTCACCAGGTGGAGATTCAAGGTGAGAGTGCACGGCACTTGTTCTCTCTGTGATGGCTCCAGTCAGAGACTGTGGTGATGCAGCAGAATCATTTCGAGAATCATTACCACAGCCGGGCACCGGTGGCTCACGCCTGTCATCCTAGCTACGCTGGAGGCTGAGATCTGAGGATCACAGTTCAAAGCCAGCCCAGGCAGGAAAGTCCGTGAGACTTTTATCTCCAATAAACCACTAGAAAGCCAGAAGTGGCGCTGTGGCTCAAGTGGTAGAGCGCCGGTCTTGAGCTAAAGAGCTGAGGGACAGCGCCCAAGCCCAGAGTTCAAGTCCCACGACCAACAAAAAAAAATCATTACTGTAGCCAGAGTCTCCCTTCCCCCGTCCCCCCCAAGAGCCCGGTGTCAGAGGGTGCAGGTTTGGGGGCGCGACCCCTGCATGGGAACAAATCTCCAAACCCTTGGGCAAGAAACAAGCAGTGAATCTCTGGGACTGGGAGCGATCTAGCTGAGCCACTGGCTAGAAGGAAAAGAAAAGCAGCAGCTAAGTGGGCCCAGGGTTCACTGCCTAGGGACGGAGCTGACCAGTGACCCGGGGGGTATATGAGAGAGAACACAAGAAGGACCAAAGCCAGTGTGGTGGGCAGGAGGCACTGGTTACCAGGACCTCTTCCAGGTCTAAGGAGCCACGGCCCCACACCCCGTGTCACCCAGGACAGAAAGCTCCAGCCTTCCTAGTATCTCTCTGCCCTCTGAGGAGATGGCCGTCTGGCCGCCGTGGGCCCCCCTCCCTTCCCCCCCCCCCAGCCACTGTCTCTGTCTTGCAGAAGGCGCCCCTCTTGCTGCACTACAGACCCAAGATGGACTTGCTGTGACCTGGCAGTCTTGGCGCCCTCGGGGCTCCGTGCGGTGACCCTGCTGTGGAATGTCACCTCTTGGGTGTCATGCGGACCAGATTTCTGAATAGAGAATATTTATAACTTTTGTATGAGAGAATCCACACCCAAGACACTACCAGCACGCGTTTACAGAGGATGAAGACACTTCGCAGTTCTGTGTGACCGCGCGCACTCGTCTCTGCTTCGTCCCCGGCCAGAGAGCGAGTGCAGTGCGATGCGCTTCCGCCACCTCACCCCTGTCCAGGTCATGAACAGCTGAGTTCGTTTTGGTTTAAGTCATGGATTGGGTTTCCTGATGAGCCTCAAAAATACTTGTATTTTTATCGCATCCTTCCTAAGTTATTGAAAAAGAGCCTTTTCATGGTAAATAATATTTATGTTGCCTTTAGCTTCCTGAAACTTAGAAGATATATAAAAATTTAATTTAAAAGCATACCCAAAGAGGCTTGCAGTAATACTATGATTTAACCATGGTGATGAATTTCCACCTTGTAGGATACAGCCAAGGCCTGCGCTGTGTCCTGGGCCGGCCTGAGCAGCCAGGTGGGCAGGGCTCCTTTGTCACCTAGACGTGACCCCACAACAAGATTCCAGCACGCTCGGCAGGGCAGACCAGAGTAGCGCTGGCTTGCAGAAGAGTTCCTGGTTTAGAAAGGGCCCAGATGCCTGGAGTCACCCTCCGTGTTCCTAGCTCTCCCTTCCGTTCTGCTGTTCAGTGCCTGCGGACAGAGCCCAGCCCGTGGGGCCACGCCTGCTGGTGTGTGCCCGTGCCAGGCTTGCCCTCCGGCCAGGGGCAAGGGCGAGGGTGGTGTGTGTGCTTCGCGGCTCGGCCGAGTGCTGCAGGACTGGGCCCGGCGGGCCAGGCCGCTTGGCTCTGCCAGGAAGTTGCTTTTTCGTCACAGGCAGGCGGCCCTTTGTTAAGCCCTCTCACCTCCCAGTGTAATGGGGTTCAATTTTTAAATTGAATTAGAGGATCAAATCGTTGCCACCACGTGGATGTTTGTCCCTCATGGCAGAGATGGTGTGGGGCAGGAGAGCAGAGGAGAGCAGAGGAGAGGCGCTTTTCTGTGGTGGTTGGAGTCCTGTGGGAAGCTGCACTGAGCACTACTTCTTGATGATCTGTGGGCTGGATTCTTCCCTTCCTTCCCCAGGCCCTGGGCAGATGGCAGACGGTCCCCAGGAGGCCCACTCAGCCCACTGCCCTCCAGCAATTGCTGGGTAGACAGAGGGCCCCAGTGTGTCCATGAGTCTTCACCATAGCCACTGGAATTTCTTCTTCATTTGCTTTGAAAGTTGGTTGGGCTTGCGACAGCTAGTTTCGTTTCCTTTTCACATACACAAAATGTTAGAAGCAGCAACTGATGAGACTTAAGGTCAGTGATGAGGAAATGTCCAAATTAACTCATCCAAGCAATCTTCAATGTGAGGCCTTTCTTAAAATAAAAACAAGCTCTTTGTTAGTAATTGGTCAAAATTCACCTCTTTATTTAAGCCCAGGACTCTCTGGATTACTCAGTTTCCTGAGCTTGCTATTCATCCAAATCGTTTCTAGAGTTACTTACTATATAAGGGTTTATGAGTAAATATTACCTGTCTACCTCAAAACACATGACACTGCTGAAGTTCCCGGCAGGACCCTGTTCTCACAGTGCAGCTGAAGAGTACCATTAGGTTTAGGTGTTTTCTGTATGGTGAAACTAAAGAAGGATTAAACGGTTAGGAGCCTCCAAATTCAAATAAAGATAATTTACAGTTCTGATCAAATATAGTATGGCTGTATAATCTCATGACATGCATTTGTAACTTTGTAGCTACCTTTGGAATCACTTGACTTTGCTATGGTGCTAAGTTGACAAATCTAAGTTGTGCAGCAGTGCAGACCTCCCGTCTGGGCGCTGCCCCTCACAGCCCTGCTCTGTCACCATGTTAACCTGATAAACCTCAGCAGCAAAAGTACCTATTTTTCTAAGATTCCATCACACACCTGGCTGCACTGCAGGTGTCTCCCGGTGCCCTCTGCCCTTTGGTCTGACCTGTAGCCTTACCTCGCTTGGAGACAAGCAGAGTGGACCTGTGTCTGATGGAAGCTTCCGGCCGCCTCTTCACCCCTGCCGAGCTCCACGTGACAGCATGAGTTCCAGGCCCTGTTAGCGATTGGTCCTGTTGAGTTTCCCAGCAGGCCTAGCTCCTTCGAAGTCGTTTTCACAGCTGCCGCACAGGCCCTGGTGCCGGTGCCGGTGCCGGCGGCCGTGGGACCAGCCTCCCAGCACTGGTCTCGCCAGACACCATTTTCATGAAAATAGAACTCAGATAGAATATATAATATTGAATTTAAGATTTGGGGGGTTAAAAAAGAAAACTTTATAAAATTATTTATTCTATTTTAAGCCTTCTATCATATTTTCCCATCCAATCGTTTGGTTTCCGTGGTCCAGCTTTATTTACAGGCATATAAAATGAAATTGTGAGATGTTTTGCAAGCTTCTTTTACTTTGTGTAGCCTTCATATGTTTTTATAGGGATAAAGAGCATTTTTATGCTTTTGTGCAATAGGTTCCAACATGCATTTATTAGATGTGTTTTAATTGTGATCTAGCATCGATTCTACTAAACTGAAAGGGAATATAGGTGGAATTTCAAATTATGTGTATTCAGCTGTTTGGTTTTTTCTTTTTCGTTGTTGTTATAAAGAATGCGGTATTGGGCCGTGTGCATGAATACTTGCCAGCAATATCCTGAAACAAGCATCCAGGCTCACCCAGGTCCTGGTGCGGGAGCCTGTGTGCGCACAGCCAGGCCACCCAGGGGTTGGGACCGTGTGGCCTCAGCCCACAAACCTAGTGGCCTTCCTTCATGGCTAGCGGGCTTGAGGCCTGGCTTTGTGTCAGTCTTGGGAGATTGGTTTGTTTCTCGGGGCTGAACGGCCTAGGAGCGAGCCAACAGATTTCTACATAATACGTAGAGGTTGAGTGTGTTCCCAAAACATTAAAAATAAATAGAGTGCAGATAGCTAAATCACACAGAACAACCAATTTCTCTGTTTCCTCAGGAAATCATGTAAGCCCCACCACATCACACGTGACCTTACTCAAAAACAATGTTATTTCTCCACCTTGATACTTAAATATACCACGTGAATCAACCGCTGTCTGTAGTTTGAAAACTTACACTTGTTTCACACGCTTTGCACACTGCTCTCCAGCCAGGCCAGGACCAGGCCACGGGTGTGGGGGGCTGGGCTGTTCACTCTCATCCCTGCCACTCCCAAGAGTGCACTGAGGTGTGTGTAGCTTCGCGTAAATGTCTACATCCCAGCTCTCAGCTGGGCTCCAGATGTGTTTCCACGGTGAAAATACGTCCAGCCAGGGACGGTCCCGTGAACTATCTCCTCAGAATGGTGAGCAGAGGAAAACGTCACAGTATTGAAAAGGATGATGCAGATACAGATTCTGATGTTTGATTTGAAAGTTTACATTTTTTATGCTTGTGTTGGTGTGTGATTTTTGTACCATCGGTGGCTAGTTTTTGTCTAAATCTTTTTTGGAATATTGCTTAATGTTTTGATTTTATGATAGTGAAGCTTGTATTCAGTGTTTTGCCAACTAATATTATATGCTTGTAATAAAAGCAGAAGAAAAACTTGACTAAGAATCTCCCAGGCTGGAACTTTATTATATAGAATACTTGTAAGAACGTAAGACAGTCTCATGGATACAGTTGGCCTTCTGTTCATCAGATGCTACATCCATAGATTCAGCCAATCATAGATTGAAAATATTCAGGGAAAAATCATTTGAACTGAAAATAGACTTTCCTGTCACTCCTTAAACCATATACCATAACAACACAGCATTCATATGTAGTAAGTATTAAAGTATTACAAGTAATCTATAAAGTACGCAAGAAGGTGTGCATGGTTATAAGTTAATGCTAAGCCTTTTTTTTTTTTGTCAGTCATGGGGCTTGAACTCAGGGCCTGGGCACTGTCCCTGAGCTCTTCAGCTCAGGTCAAGTGCATTACCACTTGAGCCACAGTGCCATTTCTGGTTTTCTCATGGACTTTCCTGCCAGGGCTGGCTTTGAACCATGATCCTCAGATCTCAGCCTCCTGAGTAGCTGGGATGACAGGCGTGAGCCACCGGTGCCCGGTGCTCCATGCCATTTCATAGAAGGGACTTGAGACCTGCAGATTCTGGTGTTGGTAGAGAATCTAGCCCTGCGATGCTGAGGTACAGAAGCCAGCCATTCAGGTAGGCTCACCCACGTTCATGTACTCGGCACAGGAGCACATGCTCACTACGTGTGTGCATACTACAGCCTGGCCACACATGCGCACAGGAGCATACTGTGCATGTACACAGCATGGTCACGTGTGCAGGAGCACACGCTCACTGCATGCGTGCTCCTTGCACACAGGGGCGCACTACATGCATGTACTCAGCACGGTCACGTGTGCATAGGTTCACTGTGCCCTCCTAGGTATACCACCTTTTTTCTTTACTCGGCACAGCATTTGTAACATGCTGTCTGGTACAGAACATTTCAACTGGCCCTGGGGAAACTGGAGTGCACTCAACTGGTCTGCAGTTGTCCTCTGGAGTGGAGCAGGTGTGACGGCAGCTGGGAGCAAGCCCACTGGTTCTGTGGGTGGCTGACTGTGGATGTGGTCAAAGAGGGAAAGAAAAGTGCTCGCCATTACTATAAAAGTGATGTACATAGTAGTAACAGTTACATAAATCAGGTAATGAATGTGTACATTTCTTTTTGGACAATATCAAGTTATATAGCTCATTTTCAACCAGACTTCAGTTTTTAATCTTCCATGGCTGGGAAGGTGGCTTAGTGGTGGACTGCTTGCCCAGCATGCATGAAACCCTGGGTTCAAATCCTCAGTACCACATACACAGAAAAAGCCAGAAGCGGTGCTTGAGCAAAAAAAAGCAGCTCGGCCCAGGCCGAGTGCAAGCCCCAGGACTGGAAAAATTAATATAATAGTAATAATAATCTTCCACTTCTCTTGCAAACCTGAGAAAACAGGAGGGAAAGAATATTGACCAAAATTAAATTCTCATGGCCCTAAAATCAGTAAGTTTGAAAAATAAATTTGCCTTAGAAAATAGCTATTTTCTTGGGCTGGGAAGGTGGCTCAGTGGTAGAGCACTTGCCTTGCTTGCATGAGGCCCTGGGTTTGATTCCTCCGCACCACATAAGCAAAAAGAAAAAAGCTGGAAG